CATGGGTGAAAGGGGTTTATGGGTGAGATGTGTTTGATCGGTTGCGTTGGTCTTTCTCTCTTTTTTTTTCTCTCTTTCTCGTTCGCTCTTTTTTGTTTTTTCCCCTTTTCTTCCTCTCTCTCTCTTCTTTCTTTTCTCTCTCTCTCTTCTTTCTCTTCTCTCTCTCTCTTTTCTTTCTCTTCTCTCTCTCTCTTCTTTATCTTCTCTCTCTCTCTTCTTTCTCTACTCTCTCTCTCTCTCTCTCTCTCTCTCTCTCTCTCTCTCTCTCTCTCTCTCTCTCTCTCTCTCTCTCTCTCTCTCTCTCTCTCTCTCCCTCTCTCTCTCTCTCTCTCTCCTTCTCCCTTTCCCCCTCCTTCTCCCTCTCTCTACCTCCCTCCCTCCCTCCTTCTTTCCTTCCCTTCTCTCCCTCCCTCCCTTCTTTCCCTCCCTCCCCCTCTCCAACCTACCGAGGACGCTGGCGACATACTCCGCGTAGATCACGTGCTGGAATTCAGCGACGACGATCCTCCTCGTTTCCTGGAAAATCCTCTCGTCGTCCCACTTGGGGTTGAGTTCGGCGAGGTCCTTGGAGATGTGGTTGTGGCGGCGGGACCAGAGGATGTGCTGCGCCGTCAGGAGGGGCTGGACGTTCACGCGCATGTCTCCTGAAGAAGGTTGGAGGCGGTGAAGGAGGGTTGGGGTATGGGGGAAAGGGATGGGGAAGGGGAAGGGGATGGGGAAGGGGATGGGGATGGGGTATGGAGTTGGGGTGGGCTAGGGATGGGGAGAGTGGGCCCAGAGGGTGTGTTGCGCCGTCAGGAGGGGCTGGACGTTCACGCGCATGTCTCCTGAAGAAGGTGGAGGCGGTGAAGGAAAATTGGGGAGGGTGGGTTTGATGGGGTTTAGGGTTGGTTGGCGATGGAGATTGGGGACGGTGGGTCGAGGTCTGGGTGGGTTGGGATGGGTTAGAGAGGGGGGTGGGGTGAGTTACGGATTGGGGGAAAGGGTAGGTGGGTGGATCAGGGACTGGAAAGAGTGGGTTAGAGATTAGGGAGAGTGAGTTAGGGATTAGGAAGGGAGAGTGGGTTACGGATTAGGGAGAGTGGGTTAGGGATTAGGGAGAGTGAGTTAGGGATTAGGGAGAGTGAGTTAGGGATTAGGAAGGGAGAGTGGGTTACGGATTAGGGAGAGTGGGTTAGAGATTAGGGAGGGTGGGTTAAGGATTAGGGTGGGTCAGGGATTGGGGAGAGTGGGGGGGTTAGGAATTCCGGAGGATAGTTAAGGAAAGGGAGTGTGGGTTAGCAATAGTAGGATTTGCCAGGATCTAGGAATGTCCCAAGGATTTACGAGGATTTTTTCTAGGATTAGGAAGGATCTGTTACAAGTGGAAGGACTTTTCAACGAAAGGGAGGACTGACTAGGATTCGTTGTACATTGTGAACCAAAAATAACTCATCAGAAAAAATAGAAATTTAAATTCAGATGCAAATTCAACAAATCAGAAACAAATTCAGCACAAAAATAATGGAGAATAAGAGAGAGAGAGAGAGAGAGAGAGAGAGAGAGAGAGAGAGAGAGAGAGAGAGAGAGAGAGAGAGAGAGAGAGAGAGATAAGTATACATATAGGTAGATAGATACTATAGTAGATAGATAGAGAGAGAGAGAGAAAGAGAGAGAAAGAGAGAAAGAGACAGACAGACAGAGAGAAAGAATTATAGGTATAGAGATAGATACTTCAACAGATAGATAGATAGAGAGAGAAACAGACAGAGAGAGAGAGAGAGAGAGAGAGAGAGAGAGAGAGAGAGAGAGAGAGAGAGAGAGAGAGAGAGAGAGAGATAGGTATATAGATACTTTAACAGACATACAGCCAGATAAATAAACAGACAGAGGTAAACAGATACACAGACTTATATAAATAGATAGACAGAGAGAAAAAAAGCAAAACAGACACGAGAAACTTATCGATCTCACCCGACTTGAAACAGAAGTGGCCTTCGCTCGCCATTGCCTCCTTGTTGCACTCCTCGGCTGCGCTGGGGTTGGCCGGAAGCAATTCCTCGCCCTTGCTTATCTGGTTTCAACGTTTTGTGTCATTTCTTTGTGTATTTTCTCGTGTTATCTTGCAAATATGTGTATATATATGTATATATATATATATATATATATATATATATATATAAATATATATATATATATATATATATATATATATATATATATATATATATATATATGCATATGTATATATGTTTATATATATTGTGATTGCTGCTGATACTGATTTTCATTTTTTTTCATTTTTTTTTTTTGGGGGGGGGTCCTCGTTCTCGTTCATTTCTGGGGTTTTAGATATATTTAACATATATGTATATATACACATATATTTTTTTGTTTTATTACCTAACATTGCTGCATTTCCTTTCATTATACTTACACATCCCTTTCAATACACCCACTTTCCAACCTCAGCATACTCAACACACCCACTTTCCACCCACAAAATACTCAAAACCCACTT